GGTGCATGCTGGTATTGCAAGAAGGCTGGACACACGGTTCAAGTGTTTCAGACGGCCTAAGGGATGGGCGCCCCCAGGCATGAAGCCGCCAAGTGGTGAACGCGCACAAGGTGGCGCTGTGCAAGGTGCAGGTGCACAAGGTGATGGTGCACAAGGTAAAGCTTCCCCTGGGATGTTCTTTATGGTTGAGGATGTAAAAGAGAGTGGGGGTGATGTGGGTTCAGTTGCGAAGGTTGTGATGCACCCCCTCACTCTCTGGGTGATTGATTCAGGTTGCACAAGTCACATGACCCCACGGGCAGATTTGCTTGATGAGGTGAAGCCCCCTGGGAAGATTAAGTTTGTGGCTGCCGCTTCAGGTGCTTTGCTCCCTGTGATTGGTGTTGGGAATGCGAAGGTGATGGGAGCCAATGGGGAGCTTGTGGGGTTTGGGAATGTGCTGTTAGTTAAAGGTTTGTCCGCTAACCTTCTTTCTGTGCGCCGGCTGCAGAAGAGCAAGGCTGGAGTTACCTTCGGCCCAACCAGCTGTCGTGCGAAGATTGGGAAGCTGTTGTTGTGGAACCTGGAGGAGGAGAGCAGCTGCGTCAAGGACCTATGACAGCTGCCCATCGTCCCTTGGAATGGGAAACCACAAGCAACGGCAACGGCAGCGGCAGCAGCTAATGCAACTGCGAGAGGAGAGGAGACTGCACCAACTGATGGGGCCCTGGATGCTGTCATGAAAGTGCAGCAGCCACAACAGCCACATGGTCAGGTGCTTGCTGGTGTGGATGGGACAGCTGCATGGGCAAAGTCTTCAACTGGGAATGGTGAGGCCAATAGGTAGACGTGGCACGAGAGGTTGTGTCATGTGAACTTCCCTATGTTGCAGAAGTTGGTGAAGGATGGGAGCTTGAAGGGGCTGGAGGTGAAGGGGGCAGCGAAGGAGATTGGGAGCTGCCCTACATGCCTTGAAAATAAATTCACCAAGTTTCCCTTCAGCAGCAGCACAGGACCAGCCAAGGCCCCACTTGCGCTTGTGCACATGGATGTGGTGGGCCCTACGAGGGCCCTTTCTCTCTCGGGCAGCCGCTACTTCTTGACCATAGTGGACGACCACACGCGTGCGGTGTGGGTATACCCTCTCAAGACCAAGGGGGAGGTGGCAGCGGCTGTTCTTAAGGAGTGGATGCCGAGGGCTCAAAGGGAGAGCGGACACAAGGTGAAGGTGATCCGCACTGACAATGGGGGAGAGTTCATTGGCGCTGATTTTGAGGGGGAGCTGAAGCGGAAGGGGATTCAGCATCAGCTCACAGTGCCTTACAACCCTCAGCAGAACGGCGTGGCTGAGCGGTTCAATCGGACCCTGCAGGAAGGTGCACGCACTCTCCTTGGGCGTGCAGGGCTGCCGGATCCATTTTGGGTGACTACACTGCGACAGTTTGCCCTTGTGAAGAACAGGGTGCTGGCGACTGTGGGGGACAAGCAATGGGTCCCCTACACCAAGTGGTATGGGAGTGCACCAGCTGTGAACATGCTGAGAGCCTTTGGGTGCATTGTGGTGTTTCATGTGCCTAAAGAGAAAAGGGGAAAGCTGGAGGCTTCTGGTAGATGGGGTGTGCACTTGGTGCAAAGGATCACAATGGCTGGTTGCTCTGGGACTTGACCAGCCAAAAGCTGATTGTTTCAAGGGATGTGAAGTTCCTTGAGTCCTTGTACTACAAGGAGTGGAAGCAGCAGCAGCAGAAGCTTCCTACTACACCACTCATTGTTGAGGCCGATGAGGTGCAGCGGCCTTCGAGGCAAATGGAGGTCTCTGTCTATGAGGAGAGGATCTCTGTGGTGACTGAGGATGGGGGAGAAGCTGAGGTGGACCAGCAGCAGCAGCAGCAGCAGCAGCAGCATGCTCCACACCCGCCTAAGCGTCCTAGGAAGGATTTTCGCCCTCCTGCCAGGCTGACCTATGCGAGTCGTGGCATGCCAAGTGTGGTACCGGCTGGGAGCGTGACTGAGCAGTGTAATGAGGATGAGATAGCCTACTGGTATGGGGCTGCGTTGAGATGGCTTGGAGGATAGTGCTATGAGAGAGAGGCTGCAGAGGGGTGCTGCAGATTTGAGCAAAGAGGAGATGTTCGATTGTCCGTTGAGATGGGTGCTGGAAGAATGTTGGGAGTGTGCGTTAAGAATGCATGCATGGGCTGGGGCATGTGGGATGATGGTTGGCAGCCAGAGGGGGAGTTTGTTATGTGATGCTATCATTTGCATTCACGTCTGTCTGCCTCCCATCCTATGTTCGTACGTTGCATGCGTGGTGTGAGCGTATGCAAGAATTTGTGTTTGGTGTTGTTTGGACTTTGTGAGTGTGTGTGTGTGAATGTTATTTTGTTTGAGAAGATATCTGAAATGACTTCTCTGCTCAAGAGCTTTCCGACGAACCAAGGATCGCTTCAATCGGAGCAAGAACAAGAAAGATACGAACGGTTGAAGTTCGTATGCTTGTGATATTTCGTTGCGGCAACTTTGGGAATTTGTGGGGTGACTCCATAAGGGGTATAGACCATTGGGGGTTGGGAAATTCGTCACCATCACTGTAGTTGCTGCCAAGTGGTTGGGAGAAGCCAAACCAGGTTGGCAAGTGTGGCCAAGTTGGGGTGAGGTGGATGGCATAGGTTGGGGAAGTGACAAAGGTCAAAGTTGGGGTGCCTATAGGGAAGGAATTGTGTGCTTATGGGGTTTCCTTGGTTGGGGACTCCCTTGGAACCTTCCCTCTCGTCCTCCTCATCCTTTCCCACCTGGTTTCTAGTTACCTCAATTCTCTTGTGTGGTTCTTGGATGAACAATTGTGATTGAGTTAAGTTTCAGTTCCAGCATACCCCCTAGTGCGCCGAAATTCATAACTCAATAAATAATTCATTTTTTCATACGATTCAAATTGGGAAGTAGCCACGTTCTAGAGCTACAACATATACGAAATTGGTGAAGTTTCAACAGTGAAAGTTTCGTCGACGGCGTTTCTTATGAAGTCGACGTTTCTGTCCAGAATTATAGTCCAACGCTTTTGAGTTATTTCGGCCCATAATCTTCATAGACTCCATCCTTAATCCTAACAGGAAGGAGGGGTGAAGGGAAGGACTGGTGGGTTTCCTCATTAGGTCGATTTCACTTCTCCCACCTGCCACCTTCCAATCGCCCATGATTTCCACCTCCATCCCTACCCTTACACCCGCCCTCACCCTTCTTCAATCCCTCACATCATCCCATCCTCCCTTCCTGATAGGATCAAGGACGGGGTCTATTTAGATTAGGGGCTGAAATAACTCAAAATCGTTGGACTATAATTCTGGACAGAATAGTCGACTTCACCAGAATCGCCGTCGACGAAACGTGCACCGTTAAATCTTCACCAAATTTCAGATATGTTGTAGCTCTAGACCGTGGCTACATTTCTCAATTTGAATCGTATCAATAGGTGAAGTACAACTAGAGTTATGAATTTCGGCGCACTGGGGGGTATGGTGCCACATAAACATAACTCAATCAAAATTATTTCCCAAGAGTCACACAAGAGAATTAGAGTAGCAAGAACCAGGTAGGAGGGGAAGAGAAGGACGAGAGGGTAGGTCCTAAGGGAGTCCCCAACCAAGGAAACCCATAGTCACACAATTTCCCCTCCCTATAGGAACCCAACTTTGACCCTTGTCCTTTTCCCAACCTTCCCAATCCACCTCACCTCAATTCGGCCACACTTGGCAACCGTTTGGCAACAAACTACATTAGGGTGCGTCAGATCCGTTGTCGGAAAAATCCGGCCGGCCGGATTTAGCGAAGGTAACACATTTGCGAGATTCGTCCAATATTTCGTAATCTTCGTCAAATCCGGCCATTTGTAAAAGATTTGATGGCCGGTTCAGCATTCGACAAAGTTCCGACGTGCAGTCGACTCGAAAGTCGACTAATTTGTCGACCTGAGATCGCTACAGTCACTACGCGACGTTGCCAACTCGTACGACGCAACGTGTCACTCAAATACTGCATCTGCGACTCCGTCGCACAATCCGGCGACCCTGGCGAACTGCAAATCTGACACATTTGCAAAGCGGCCTTCAAATCGGCCACCAAATGTGTCAGATTTTTCGGCCCTGTAAATGTGGCCAGATTTGATCACTTTTGAAGTCGACCATGTTGTCGCCGTTGGCGAAAGATATAGTACCAAAATGGTCGACCAAATTCCAGCCAAATCACTTTGTAACGGATCTGACGCACCCTTAGAGTGACGAAATTTCACAACCCCCAAAAGTCTATACCCCATATGGAGTCACTCTACAAATTCCCAAAGTCGCCGCAACCAAATATCAAAAGCATACGAAGTTCAACTATTCGTAGCTTTCTTGTTCGTGCTCCGATTGAAGCGATCCTTGGTTCATCGGAAAGCTCTTGAGCAAAAGAGTCACTTCAGATTCTGCTCAAGCAGAATAACATTCACACACACACTCAGAAAAACCAAAACACATCAAACGCAAAGTACTTTGCACGCGCACACCATGCATGCAAGATAGAAAGATAAGATGGGAGGCAGACAGACGTGAATGCAAATGATAGCATCACACAACACTTCCTCCCATCCGCCCTTCCTCTCTTCCTCTCCTCCATTCCTCCCTTTCCCCCGTCCACTCATCGTTTCCTGAATTTCCTTTTCATCCCCCCTTCATCCCTGCCTTTCACCCTCCCTCCCTCTCTTCCTCACTTCCTCCCTGCTTGGAAAGGAGGGGGGAGATGGGGAGGCAGGGAGGATGGAGATGAGGAGGCAGAAAGGAAGGGAGGGGTGATATGGGGAGGCAGGGGAGGGGGGGAGATGGGGAGGCAGGGAGGGGGGAGATGGGGAGGCAAAAAGGGGCTAGCAGGGGGGAAGGGAAGAAGAGAGGGAGGGATGGGGGGATGGGGAGGGAGAAATGGGAGTTGGGGAGGCAGGTAGGGGGGAGATGGGGAGGCAGGGAGGGGGGAGATGGGGAGGCAGAAAGGGGCTAGTAGGGGGTAGAGAGGAAGAGAGGAAGGGACGCGGGGATGGGGATGCAGAAAGAGGAGATGGACAGGTAGAACGGGGATATGGAGAGGCAGAAAGGTGAGATGCAGAGGCAGAATGGTTTAGTGAAGGGGGTAACCGAGTGAGCAAGGGGGAAAAGGGGTGAGTGCATGGGGTAAAAGAGTGAGTAGGTAGGAGAAGGAATGTGTGAAGAGGGTAAAAGAGTGAGCAAGGGGGGAAAAGGGGTGAGCGAAGGGGGTAAAAGAGTGAGCAGGGGAGAAAAGGGGTGAATGAAGGGGGTAAAAGAGTGAGCAAGGGGGGAAAGGGGTGAGTCAAAGGGGTAAAAGTGTGAGCAAGGGGGAAATGGGGTAAGCGAAGGTTTCCCTAATGGAGTAAGGAAGGGGAGATAGGAAGGGAGGGAGAGGAGGCGGGGGATCAGCGCGGGGAACCTGCGATGCTAGGTATAGCATATATCAAACAAAGCATTAACCCGTTCATGAAATAGCTCTTGTACAAACCAGAGAGTAGCAGCTCCAAAATACGTCTGGAAGCTAATAAGAAAACCAGTCACAAATGAGGAGGTGGAATCCTTCTTCCAAAATGAATTGTTGGGGAAGGAAAAGTGGAGAATGAGCTTGGGAAGCTCAACCCCCTTCCTAGACCCCCCTTGGGGTGCAACCACCTCTTCCATGGCAAAGGAGGGGTGCACCTCCTAGGGCTTTGCCCATGTAGCAATGGCTTGATTTCCAACCAATAAACATGTAAAGAACAAGGATTAGAATGTGGTGTGTGTGCAATGCTATCACAAACATGTCACTTTGTTCCAATTCCAGCCAACGGCGGAAATGTTGACGACACATTTTGTGGGGTGTTTTTGATCGTTTGTGTTTCCATGCAAGGGTTGACTTGGACTTATATAGAATGTTTGTGGTTGGATGGTTCCCAACCAATTTCACCAATCTTCTTTCCAACCATTTCTATACCAGACTTACGGGTATGGGGAACCCAATATGTTACACAATGCGATGTGAGGCTGCACGAGGAGGCGATGCGAGGGCGCGACTGTGCGCGCGACGAGGCTGTGCTTACGAGGCTTACGAGCGTCATACCAAACTTACGAGTATGGTGAACCCAATATGTTACACAAGGCGAAGTAAGGTTGCAAGAGGAGGCAATGCGAGGGCCGCGACTGTGCGCGCGACGAGGTCGCGCTTACGAGGCTTACGAGCGTGACTATGTCGTGACGGAGGGCGAAGGGATGGGAAGGGGATGGACGAGGAGGAAAGGTGCGGGGAAAGTTGAGGCATCCGTAAGAGGACGGGCGCGCATCGTGATGAGGCTCGTGGCCAATTGCGGGCATCGCAAGGTGTGCGTTAGCGGACGCGGCGCCTGTCAGAAGACATGCACTGGGGATCCCAGATTGATCCCATGAAGGGTTACAGGCATGTTAGCCTGGGGGGTTATGGGCGCACTGACCCGCTACTGGAACAAGCCTTTTTATCCAAGTGCTCTGGTGACTGGGACTTTGACATGTACGCACATGCTGCCGAATGCTCTGTGTTGTGTCCTGAGCCTCCCTGTGTGGCGGGGTGTCAAAAGACCTGCACTAGGGATCCCCGATTGATCCTAGGAAGGGTTACAGGCATGTTAGCCTGGGGGATTATGGGCGCACTGACCCGCTACTGGAACAAGCCCTTTTATCCCAGTGGTCTAGTGACTGGGACTTTGACAGCGCCTTGTGTGGGGGAGTTGGGTGCTGCGGATGGGGAGATTGGAAGGTAGAAAGGGGATATGGAAGGGGAGTGAATGTCAAACATACATTGTTAGGCTGTAGTGGGTTACTCCCTATGGGGTACAACCCTTGTTAGGGTTAGTACTTGTACCACATTTCCTGCTTAGTCAAACCATTCTTGTTTTCTATTCTGACATGGTTCCGTTCTAGGACCGTTTTTTTTAAGGCCCACCGTTCGTTCCGCCCTGCCCGTCGATCAGTTTTTCCCTGCCCTGCCCGAAGTTTTTCTGCCCTGTCCAGCACGCTGCCTGAGCTGCTACGAGCTGTGCGCTGCCGCCCACTGCCCAACGCCAGCGCGAGCCCTGCTGCCCAGCGCCCGCGCGCGCCCTGCTGCCCAGCGCCCACGTGCGCCCTGCTGCCCCTTACCAGCGCGCGCCCCGCTGCCCAGCGCCCGCGTGTGCCCCGCTGCCCTGCGCCCGCGTGTGCCCCGCTGCCCAGAGCCAGCGCTCGCCCCGCTGCCCAGAGCCAGCACACGCCCCGCTGCCCTGCGTCCGCGCGTGCCCCGCTGCCCAGCGCCCACGCGCACCCTGCTGCCCTGCGCCCGCGCGTGCCCCGCTGCCCAGAGCCAGCGCGCGCCCCGCTGCCCTGCGTCCGCGCGTGCCCCGCTGCCCAGCGCCAGCACGCACCCCGCTGCCCAGCGCCCGCGCGCGCCCCGCTGCCCTGCGCCCGCGCGTGCTCCGCTGCCCAGAGCCAGCGCGCGCCCCGCTGCCCTGCGTCCGCGCGCGCCCCGCTGCCCAGCCCCCGCGCGCGCCCCGCTGCCCTGTGCCCGCGCGCCCTACTGCCCAGCGCCAGCGCGTGCCCCGCTGCCCAGCGCCCGCGCGCACCCTGCTGCACAGCGCCCGCGCGCACCCCGCTGCCCAGCGCCCGTGCGCACCCTGCTGCCCAGCACCCGTGCGCACCCTGCTGCCCAGCGCCAGCGCGTGCCCCGCTGCCCTGCTAGCTACCCGCGCGCACCTGTCCTGCCCTGCCCGTGCACATCACCTAACCGCTGCACTACAAACACCGCCAGCCCTGGCCCACGAGCGACCTGCACTGGAGCACCCAGTTACTCGCGCGCTTCCCTAGCTGCTCCTGCGCTGCTGCTCCTAGCTGCCACTGACTGCCATGGCCACTACCACTGTCCTACGTCAGCGGCAGCCGGGTGTGCAGGAGTCTCTCTCGCCGCAGCAGCTTCGCGAGTGGGCTATCTGGTGGGGCAGCCCCGGTGGCGGAGCTAGCCGTGCTAGAGCTGGAGGTGTTGGTGCTGGCGGTACTCGTACTCGTCGGCAGGAGACGCTCTCATCGCAGCAGCTTCGCAAGAGGGCTGTCTGGTGGGGCAGCCCCGGTGGCGGAGCCTGGGGTGCTACTACTTGAGGTACCTGTGAGTCTACTCCTGCTGGTAGTGCCGCTGGTAGACGCGGAGGTTCTGGGGGTGGACAGCAGCAGTAGCAGCGTCCGCCGGAGACTCTCTCACCGCAGCAGCTTCGTGAGTGGGCTATCCGGTGGGGCAGCCCCGGTGGCGGAGGGTTTCGGGGTACTCGTACTGGGGGTGTAGAGGCACCTGGTGGCGTAGAGGCTACTAGTCTCGGTGCGTGTGACTCAGCTACCACAGGTGCAGAGACTGAGGAGGCCTTGCACTCTTTCATTCTAGACTCAGGCGTGTCTCGCTGCTTCTTCCGCGGCTGCACCACAGTCACACCGCTCACAGTCCCGGTCCCTGTCACTTTGGCCGACCCCTCCGGTGGCCCAGTCGTTGCACGTGGCCCCACTGTTCTCCCGTGTCCGGCAGCCCCCTCCGGTTCCCTCTCAGGTCTCCACCTCCCCTCATTCGCTAAGAACTTGGTGGCTACCGCTATCCTACAGGACCAGTGGGTCACTGTCACCCAGCCTGGAGGAGAGCTCGTGGCGATCTCTACGGACTCACGCACTGGCGAGCACCTAGCCACGTTCACTCGGAGGCCCGGGTCTGGTCTGTACACACTGACCACTGAGTCTTCACTGGTAGCTGAGTCAGGTCTGGTAGCTGCGTCGGTTGAGGTCGTTGCGTCTTGTTCGTGTCGTCTCCTCACGCACCAGACTCTCCTCTGGCACCACCGTCTTGGCCACCCCTCTTTGCCACGCCTGCGTGGCATGCACTCCCGTCTCCTTGTGTCTGGTCTCCCCAGGTCCCTGCCCCCACTTCCGAGGTCGCTGGCACCGCCCTGCCTTCTCTGCGTCGAGGGGCGGCAGCGTGCTGCTCCTCAATCCTCCTCGTTTCCTCCTACCACTGCTCCTCTGCAGACCCTCCACATGGACGTGTGGGGCCCCGTCCGCGTCACTACACAGGGTGGCGAGCGCTACTTTCTGCTGGTTGTAGACGACTACATGCGCTACACCACGGTCTTCCCCTTGCAGAGCAAGGTGGATGTCCGCGGTGTCTTGATCCGCTGGATCCGCGCTGTCCGTCTCCAGCTTCGCGCTCGGTTCCAACAGGACCTCCCTGTCCTGCGGCTGCACTCTGACCGAGGTGGTGAGTTTTCCTCCCGCCTCCTCGAGTACTTCTGTGGTGCTGAGGGCATCGTCCAGTCGTTCGCGCTTCCGGCCTCTCCACAGCATAATGGGATTGCCGAGCGCCGCATTGGCCTGGTCATGGAGGTTGATCGCACCTCCATGATCCATGCGGGTGCTCCCCATTTTCTTTGGCCGTTTGCGGTCCGATACGCCGCGCATCAGCTCAACCTCTGGCCCCGTGTCTCCCACCCGGAGACCTCACCTACTCTGCGGTGGACGGGCGAGGTTGGCGATGTGTCGGAGTTTCGGGCCTGGGGTTTCCTCTCTCTTGTCCGCGATCTGCCCGCGGGCAAGCTCTCTCCGCGCACTCTTCGGTACGTGCTGTCCTCCCGCGACGTCACTTTTGACGAGTCGGTCTGCTTCTACCGTCTTCACCCCCACCGCAGTTCCCCGGTACCCCTCCCGCCTCTCTCCCTGATTGTCGACCCCCCCCCGGTAGCCCCCCTCCCTCCTCCCGGCCCTGCTCCCTTAGGTGTGTCTCAGGTAAACCCACCCCCCTTGATTGAGCCTTTGGAGGTCTCCTCTAACACCTCTGGCCCAGCTGAGGGGGGTGACCCGACTGCTGCCGACACAGTGGCCCCTCGCCGCTCCGCGCGCTTGGCGGTCCCTCCTGGTTTTCCGCCTCGACCGTCTTCACCGCCTCTGCAGCCCGTCACTGTGGACTCTCGTGCTGCTGGAGGTGGTGACACTGGGGGTGCGGACTCTGGGGGTGCTGGCTCTGGGGGTGCTGAGTGTCCTACGGGTACAAGAGGTGCTGGAGGTGCTGCTGCTGGAGGTACTGCGGTTGGAGGTGCTGGTGGTGCTGGTGCTGGTGGTACTGGTGCACTTCGACAGGAGACTCTCTCGCCGGAGCGGCTTCGCGAGTGGGCTGTTCGGTGGGGCAGCCCCGGTGGCGGCGCTGGACGTGCTGGAGCTGGAGGTACTGGAGGTACTGGACCTGGAGGTGCTAGTGCTGGTGTTCCTGGAGTTGGCCGTGCTGGAGGTACTGGTGCTGGAGGCACTGGTGCTACTGGAGGTACTGGAGGTACTGGTGCTGTAGGTGCTGTTGCTGGTGGTACTGGTT